TCGAAAGGAGACTGCGACCATACCAGAGGCCACAACATCTTGGTCTTCATATCTTCAATTAATTTATTCTCAAAGAAACATGCTTCCAAACTGAGAGGATGTCGAAAAGTTTAATGGCTTATGGAAGCATCAGTAGAAAGGAAAATTTAACGAATAGTAATGGGAATAAGTGATGCGAATCCTAATTAAGGATCCGTATTTAACCGATGTGCTTATAATACTTTACCGAGAGTCCGGTATCTGATTGTACGAATGACGACTCAGGGCGCTGACGAACTCGTTTAAAGAAGTCGCTTATGAAGCTGTTCGACGTTAGTCCGACCTCGACAGCTGAACAAGAATGGCCAGAAGCAATCGTAACAACTGGCAAGTACCCAACACCGTCGGATTGCCGAGAAGTGGTGCTCTTTCGAGCCGCGAAATGAGGTACAGCCATTGATCCGCGGATTCCGGAGTTCAGCTGCAGCATGAAAAAAAGAAACCGTAGATTTACAATTATCTGTGAATTCTATCGAGGCGATAAATGCAGTTTATACGGATATATAATCTGGTTTATTTACTAATATAATAACAGTTTTATTAGTTATAATTATGACCATCATGTCCACGTTTCCTCTTGACCCAACAAAACTTAACCCCATTACTTTTAATGAGGTTTAAGGCCAATAACGTTGTGAAGTACTAAATTAAACCATAAAGATGATTATATAACGTGGATTGATAAGAAATCTAGCTGATTTGAAAACTTGTTGATTTTAGCCCTTTTGAGAAAAGGACAAAGAATATGTAAGCTTTGTGCGCCAATTAACTTGTGTAGATACTTTAAGAATCCTAAGTTCGTTTTGACCTCGTTTTCACAATTTGGCAGTGTTTTTAAGGGCACTTGCACAATAGGGAGAAGATATAAAGGAATCCCAGATTTCGAAGTCACTTAGGTATTTCATGTTTATGAATCTTTAATTCAAATAATAATTTGGATGGAAGGGGTTCGTATGTTGACATAAAGGATATTTGCCTCAGACTAATGATTTTCGATACGAGCAAACTATGACTCATTGGAATGATACATTTAGCTAAGAATATGACACATTTTTAAAATTAGACCTAGGCATATAGGCTGAAATGAGGACCAACCGACAAGCAATCAAATAACTCAAATGGAGATCCGCCTATTATAAGATACACCTCCAGCTACGAAATATTTGGTAAGATATATGGATGGAAAATTCACTGTTCGGTAAGATGAGGGAAAAAAGATAAATTAATTAAATAAAAGAAAGGGCTAGATGGGTTCATTACATTCACCATGGAATTTGTGAAGAATATTTGCCTGCCTTCGCAGAAAATTGTAGACGAGTGGAGCAAAGAAAAAATTAGACTAGGTAGATGCGTTTATAGGAAGTGTTCTTTCCCTTAATTTATGCTCCAACCGTTGATATAGAGCCAAAGAAAGCAATATGAAATCAAGTATTAGAGTAAGTTTGAGCCTAGCAGACGCAAATAACTAAGATGAAACACCAGGATAATTATAGGAAATTTTGGCATGTAGTGTGACTAATAAACGATCAACTTGTGGTACTAGGAGATAGAATGAGGCGAACTAACTACTTAGAGTGACTAGAGGAGATACTAACTGGAATAGGATCCTGCTGGCCCAAATTTTAGCTAATAGCTGCATTGATAAATGATGCAAAAAGCATTCATAATTCTTAAACTAGTCATTGGACAAATTGACCTCTACTTTGCTGCTTACTATTAAAACATGAAAGATATAGGGACATCCTTTCAAAGGATAGAATAGATGAGACGACTAGGTTCACCGGAGTGAGAGAAGGATGAAAGACTAACTTGTATGAACGTTATATATTACAAAGGAATTACGCTAGGGGAGAATGATTATAGGAAAGCCAGTAGCGTGGGTTTCTTGACATGAGAATCAAATAAGTGCAAGGCAAGTACAGGACAGCAAATAGGGTAGTTTAAAACTAAAAACTTTACTAAACATAAAGGGTTAACAACTAAGCGTAAGAGTAAGCATTAAGATGAAATAAACAAGATTGTTGAGACCTTCAGTTGGCGAAATTAGTGCATGAGTTGAGCAGTTGAGTTGAATGAAGCTGGGCATAAGCTCGAGATAATAGATGAAATTACTAAGAGACAACATGGAGAACAACTATAAAAAGGATATGAAGAGAAGCAGGGTTTCGAAGAAACCCTCAATGGAGTTGTAGTGGCGAGCCATTCATTTCATGTGACTTGACTTTTCATTTCGAAGGAAAAGATGGTTGGAAGGGATTCGTGAATTGATCTCACTTGAAAGCGAAATATAATGGATTGCCTCAGAGTGGGAAATGTTGGATTGCACATAAAA